ATTATGTTATTTGGGTAACGGGCAACTAATACGCATTAAAACTCCCCATCTTTCCATTTGTAGACTGGTGCTTGCAGTAAATATTGCAACATTTGAACAATCGACAATATTTTTCCGAACTCTATCACAGTATGTAGTGAAATAACTTCCAGACCCAACATTTAAGGCCTAATGAGTTGTCATGTTCCGACAGCGGAGGATTTGAATACCGGTAGAGGAAGCAATTTCAATAATTCCTTAGTCCCAACGTCTTCGACTTCCGTTCGAAGGGTGTAATCAATAATGAAAAATAAGGGGGTCTTTTAAGCAGTTGCACTCGTAGGTACAGATAAAGATAAAATAAATGCCTTTTTAGCCGGTTTCCCAAAGGGAAAGGAAGCACGTGGAACGTCGTTGTCTTTTAACCGAAAGTTTGGTCAGGTGTAACGGCGAGACACGACAATGCTTTAAGCCTAGGAAATATCTTGATGGCATATTGGATACTCTTTAACAGCTCATTATCATGGGAAGCAATCAATTAATTCGCCTTGAATGTTTATAGTATTACTGAAGAACAAAAAAAAATGGGCTTTTAACTAATAGAGATTTAAAAGTCTGTCTGAGATTCAAGTGTCCTTTTAAGCCCAAATTTTCCGCGATTTTCTTAAAATTATCACCATTTACAAACTCAAGCGTTTTCCATGGCTGGCCAAATTTGCAAATCATCAATTGGTCCAGATCAGAAGTTATACATTTTTAAAACAAAGCTTGCAATCGCATAAAATAATTTCCTTTATGTTGCAAAAAATACAGATTACCTGCGATTTTCCTCACATTCATGATTTAGAGATTCATTCATAAATAAGGCTCTTTTTTAGCTGGTGAAATTTTCAAGGCTTCATTTGCACAGTTTAATAAATTAAGTTGCAGTCGTAGGAAGTCGTTAATATTTTGGCCAGCATTCAAAAAGTTGCCAAAAATCAAAAATGTTTAATATTTTTTTCAAATTTTCACCGTTTACGCATTTCAGTGTTTTCTTTGGCTGGTGACGGTTTCAAGTTGTTAGTTGCTCTAGATTGGAAGTTATGCATTTTTTAAACAAATCGTGCAGTTGCGCAAAGTCATTCATATTTGGCTCACATTCGCAAAGTTGCCAGAAATACAAATTCTTTGTGACTTTTTTTACATTCTCATAACATAATATCTGTAAAATGGAGAATGCAGTTTTTTTCAGTACGTGAAATTTTCAAAATTTTACTAGCATTTAAAGTTAAAAAAATTGTTACAAAAACAAAATGCTACATGTGGCTTAAACACCTCTTAAAAAATTATTTACAGCTACTGTCTAAAAGCCCGAAAATATTAACCAAAATCAAACAATTTTAGCTGGTTAACTTTTTTCATAGTTGGAATTATACAAAATACAAAGATTATAATTGAAAAGGAAAATAAAAGTTGTTGTTTTTCAGTAATGAAGAAGTACCATAAAAACCCTAAAAGGAGCCCATATGGACGAAGTTGAAACAAGCACCTATAAAAAAGTAATGATTGTTATATATAACAATGCCATTATATATATTAATGGATTTTCAAACTCCAAGAGTTTTCCTAACTCAAGCCGCAACAAATTTTAAATCGGTACTAATGTGATTTTTGAGTTCTTTCATTGATTGATATTTTTTTAAACAGTTTTTTTATACATAGTGAATAAGGAATTTTACGTTTTTACATAAATTGGCGATAATTAAAATAATTTTGTGTTTTAATGTATAAATAATGTGTAATTTAGAATTTAGAGTTCAAGAAATTTTCTATCTAGTTTACCTGGAACTGACCTAATTTTTGATGACTTAGGTCGAAGTTTTCAAGGAACACGTCCATTACACAATATTTATTTATAAACACGAAGTTTTGGTCTGAAAATGGCTCCAAAGATAAAAGTTCTTACAATTTTTCCTATTTTGGTAAATTCTCGGCATAAACACACTTGAGAAAAAACAAGCAAGGAATATATTTTTCATACTTTTATATGCCGATATTATTGTTTTGATCATTATTTTAACTGCTATATTTAATTTGCATCTTTTATCAATTTTACATCAGCTTTTCTCAAAATTCTTGTAATTTTTAGACAGACAAATGATGATTACTTGCATAATATAACAGCAATTATTTCTTACAGTTTCACCGAAACAAAGCCTGTTTTATTATTTTGAAACATATTTTTTCTTTCTTTTATGACCTAGTTTTTTCTTGATTTTAATTTTTGGTAATTTTCTGTTTTGTTTTTAGATCTGAGTTCTATTTTTGTATTCACTTGCATATAATAAATATACCTAAACCAAAAATGGTTTGAGTCATCCAGCCATACGCTTTTTTTGCATACTTTGCCAATTTTTTGTAATTTTTTTGGTTTTGCAATTAATTTACTTTTTTGTAGTTTTTAAACCAGTTTTTCTAAAATTCTTTCAAAATTATCTCTGTCAGATAATTATAATTATCAAATCTAAATATAATTTTTGAAGTTTTACCAAATTAACAACTGATTTATTATTTTGAAAAGTTTCTTTCTCGCCCTTTTATTACATTGGTTTTTTCTCTATTCACTTTGCGTAACTTTTCTGTTTTGTTTCCGGCTCTCGGGTCTCATTTACTATTCACTTGTACTTCTTCAAGCATTAAAAGATCTATTTTGATTTATCGGTACTTAAATAACTGAAATTGAATGAATGAATGAATTACACAACCAGCCAATGGAGCCAAAGTATTTCTATGATTTTTCTCCTATTTTAAGTTTAATCTTTTCATTAATAATTTACATTTTTTTAAGCATTTGTGCTTCACTAGGTACATTTACATAGCGCACAAACTATCGAGGCTTCTAAGAAAACTGGTGTTTGTTTCGTTTGTAATTCGACTATTTGCCCAAAATGCTGCCCTCAAATTCACGTATTAAAATCCCTGCGAAATCCAAAAAAAAATTAATTTAAATCTATTTGAATATACAGAAAATTAAGTGGTAAGTGAAATCTAAAAAAATGGGGATTGAAAAAGGATTTTAGTGTATTCAACGCATAAAAAGCGGTTCAATTCGCATCAAAAAAATTAAGTTCCTTCATTTCACGTGAAAAATATTTTATTACAATGATATAAATATTGGGACTGTTTATAACCGCAACACTCAATCGGTCATCTTAAAGTATGAAATATTTTTAACAATTTCTGTCAAACAATTTACATAAATTAAGAACAACCTGCAAATGTTTTCGGTTATATTTCTATGTTTATGTTGTTCGTTTAACAGTAATAATCGGACAAGCTGCATTATTGCTTTTTGTTGTAAATATTCGCCTTATTTTCAATTTTATGTCTATTTTAATTGCCAAAATCGTAGTCTTAAGCCCACAGGGTGATTCAGGACGGAATGGAACTTTCTTTAAGTAGATATATGTTTTATATTAGTTGTAAATTGTAATTTAAAGATTATTACAAAACAAATAGCAATGAGTCATCGTAAATTTTCGCGTTATTTCTTAAAAAGTGTTTAGAAAGTTGTTTATTTTCACTAAAGATACAGCGTCTATTAAACTAAAAGTTCTAAAATTATTTACAGATATATTGAACGGGTCAGAAACATTTTTCAAAAACTTTTTAGAACGTTTTTCTTTATATTCAGGTTTTAAAGTTGGTATGTGTTGTCTATTAGGTATACGGTACAGGTACAGATGCGGCCGAATTAGGTAGGTATAAAATGTTCGCAATATAAATTTGGATAAATAAAAATGTAAGTTAGAGACATCATCTGTATCTACCGCTAGACACTTTTTCTGTAGTGCGAAAGTGTAATTTTAATCTTAAATACACTGTTAAATGTTATTGGGGCGTTTAGAAAAAATATGTAAACCTCTCTATGCGTAGGACGTACCTACATCTATCTAAAATTGATTTTTTAAATCTACATAAGTAGATGCAAACAAGAGCATATCTGTTCAATTTGTACCATTATCGAAGGGGAAGGAATTGAAAAATTAATAAATTCGAAGTCCAACGCCTCTTTGAACACTACGCGAATGAAGTGAAAAATTTGAATTTGAAAACATTTGTAAAACTACCTGGCGAAGAAGCGTGATTTATTTTATGCCTTAACTATTAATTACTTCAACATTTGAAGCTGATTTTTTATAATTAGGTATCTACGTTTAGCTTGTATTGAACACATTTTTCTACCTGATTCACATATTGACGATTTTACAAAAAAAATTAAATCAAAGCACTCTATATAATAATTATAAAGGTACCAGTTCACCTAACGAGTCAAGTGAACGTTTCATTAAAAAGACCAGTAAATAGTCAGATATCAAACTAGAAATATATACTAATAGACACAAGCAAGAGAGGAAGTCAAGAATTAAATGTTAAATAAGGCATTTTAAATCTTCTAACGAGCGACGAATGATGATTTCTCAGTCGGCAACTAAATCGAAAGCCGACAATGTGTATAAAGTTAGCAAACAACTACCAAGTCCAGTTTAAGCAGCATAAAACTGAAAGACTTTTAAACATTATCCAGTGTCAAAGCAGCGACCGTGCTGCATTCATCCGAACCAAATAAAGAGAATTATAGAACCTGAACATTAATTCCTATTGAAGCATCTTCTCGAGTTTCATAGCCGATATAAAGAGAGGAGAGTCGAAAAAAAAACGAAGATATTCGGAAAAAAATAGGGATATGCGCACATACATGGCGAAGAAAAAAACACAATACATATAAAATAGAAGGGAAGGGGTAAAAGATATACGCGCACACTTCGATTTCTAGGAAAAAAGAAAATATATCCGAAGCAAAGCAATCCACTATTGGCCCAGCCGGCTCGAGACGGACCAAAACCTTTCAATCCATCTTACAGTGCATTAGACAAGGAGGGGCATAGATCGGTGCACATCCAGATGGCAGCACCTACCAATAGGTTGGGCGGAGCGAGCTTGGTGCGAGAGAGCGCGCAAACAAGAGTGTGTAAAGTTGCACTGAGGAGTTGAGGATGTCATTCAGTACGGGGAAGTCTTTTCTCCAATGAACACGTGATAGGTGCCGAGCACAGCCGACGTCTGTGACGAAATGCACTAAGACGAAGTTGACTGACACTTTACGTATTTTAAAAGACGCGGGTGATTTAAACAAAAACGTTTCTAGGATTATGATCGTTGAAAAGCGAAGTTAGTGGGCCGGTTCCAGTGACTCGAAATGGTTTCACAGGTGGAATTGTTGCGATCCTAAAAAGACTGTTGGACTGATTAGTGATGTTTGCATCTATTGAGTGCGGCAGGTGCTAGATGAGACTGCATGTGCACGACAATGCAAAGGACTTAGCCAAGCGAAAAAGAGTTGTTGCGGAGGATAAGTGAGTTCAGTTCAGTCCAAGTACGCGGAACTTTTCCAAACTGGCTGAACTGGAAAAAAGACTGGTCATGATGCAGCCCACAACGGCTGCCAACGTTCCTCCAAACGGTGGTGAAATGAATCTGGAGGAAATGCAAAATATGGAATGGCTCTTCAGAAAGGAGCGGATTTATTTGTTGGCGCAGTTTTGGCAACAGGTTAGTTTCGATTTTTCGAGTTATTTCGACGACCATGTCTCCAAAATTGCAAACTTGCAGTTGCTTCGATTGAAAAAAACACGAAAACTTCAAACAGTTTAAACGACTTACTGCGGTGATATTGAAGAGTTGCTCCTTCCATCTGTAAAAGACAAGTCTGTTAGTAGGAAACAAGCGTCAAAGTGTTCATTCTCATGTTAATCAGCTCGAATTCATTCAATTGAGAGTTGAAAATTTGTTTCAGTTCAAAAAAGAGTGAAGTGGAATTTTGCCAGACTCATAAGCACATTTTCGATCTGATTTCAGTCAATATCAGCACAAAGGAATTTTTCAAAAAATAGTATCAAAACCTGACCTTTGATGGTTGCTCGTTCTATTTACTTAGATATTAACTCCCATTTGCGATTCAACCGGTGAGAGCTTCAAAAATTAAAGAAAATAAAAGGTTGCTTAGTAATATACATTTTCCAGTAGGTAGACCAACGACTAATACATTTGCTTGGTTAATATTTAATTTCGGACGGATTTCAACTTCCTTTCGCTGAATTCCACTAAAAAATCCCAGTGGACAAATTTTGAAAAAACTAAATTTCTTAAGTTGAACACGCGAAACTTGCCAGAAAATTTAAAAAAATTGCGCTCACAACATCATTAGTGTTTTTATGTCCTTATTAGTTTCTTGTCCTATTAACTGGTTGAACAGTAAACAAATTTTCATCAGAAATTGTTCAGCACCTGAAATTATAGACAGCAAATAAACGATTCAGAAATTTGCTTAGTTAATATTTAATTGCGCACTGAATAAACACTAGTTTCAATTTCCATTCCGCTCAAATCCATTAAATAGTCTGAGCGAATCAATTTTGACAACTGCAAAACTTACGCAAAAATCTACGTACTATAATTTCCAATTTTTGTATGTCATGTTTTTGAAATAATTATGTTGAAAAAATTTGCAAACATTCTGCAAAAAACAGATTTTGTTTTGAATCGTAATCCTGTGAACTCCAATACTTTACTTTACATTCTTCAACAAACGACCACAAGCCCGCATCTTTTGCTACGAAAGTTCTTCAACCCAAAGTTTGCATTTGTAACAAGAATCAATAACACTTTTAACATTTCCTCTCTTGCTGTTTTGCGAGTGTATCAAAATTTGTATTGTCACCAATTTTATGCCTTCCTGTAGGTACTAACCGTTTTTCGAGAAACTGCAATTTTCACAACTTGTAAACTTCTTCCCTTTGCATGGCCTTAATGTCCACTTATGATTATTAATGCCGACTGTCTCAAGTACCTACTGTTATCTTTTCAATAAATAAGTAATGAAAAATTGGTCAACTGAATAATTTTAAAAAGTTCATGAAACTTGAAAATTTCCCAGGAAAAATAGCATTTATCTGCTACATGCTGACCTTGTGTAGTTCAAGGTAGAGAAGTAACGCTTAAAAATGCGCAAAATAATAAATGTTTGGGCCTCTCTGTTCTAATCGTTGTCATTACCTCAGCTTTAGCTCTAAATATCTGCACCATATATTCAAACTAATATCTGTTAATGTATCAGATTTTAAATTAAATTTGAGCAACCAAAATGTTGAAAAAAAATATATAAATCAAAATAATGGAAATCATTGAACAACGTTATAAAGAACGTAATTGCTAATCGATAATTTTGTACTCTAAAAAAACGGTATTTATTTGACCGCTCGCAATTTGTAAAAGTCTGGAAGTTGTCGTTGTAAAATTTCATCAACTCTCTATAATCAATAAATATGAACATAAGCCTAAGCGTGCATAACGAAGTGAACAAACTGGAAAACCTCTTAAGGGAATTTAGGGCTGTACTTAATAATAATGAGAAAACCCCTGAAGGAATGACAAGTTTTTCCGGCTTTGAGGCTTTTGCGAAAAGAAATTGCTTCCTACGTTTCGCAGGCACGAGTGGCTTGCATCTTCAGAGGTGTTTCACAAGTGAAGATGCGAACTACTCGTGCCTTTCAGGCAACTCTTATCAGGCAACTGCAATCAACCTAAACACTAGGATGTAAATTGTATTTGTATTAACTGGTTGCTTGTGTCATTTTTGAGTCCAATGCTGATTTTTTTCGCTTCAAGTTCATTGCTTAATTAGTGCTTGCTGTTGTGTACTTGCTAACAGTGTTAACTAACATAAAGTAATGTTCTAAATAAAAAATCTAAAACCGATGATTTCAAAGAACTAAGAAAAATCGAACAAGTGGTAGGAAAACAATGAAGTAAATGTGCATAAAAACCCATATGAAAGGGAAAACTCAATAATTAAAGAGCTGATGATGATGACGAGCTTAACTGCATGCCTAGGCGGAAAAACATCGGCAAATTGGGCGAAAAACTAATGCGTGTTTTCTGTGATGTCTTCAGATCGCTAAACTAGTGATCCATAGTGGATTACCGGGCGTATTTTTAGCCTGGTAGAAGAATTGACAATTTCCACACCGTTGGCATCTTAAAACATTTCGGAACATATAGCCGACGAACTCCGAGACCTGATCCCAATTTGTCTTAATGACGTCGCAGGCCGGCTCGCAACTGCTTAATAAATTCTTCTCTAAATTCTTTTCAAAAGCGTTTTAAATCTTTTTCTATTTTTTGTCCGAAACCACGGAATCGAAAACCTACATCGACACCGAAATCCCGGGCGACAAAAACATCAAGGTTTTTGGTACCCGATGGAATCGCTTCTAATCCACGTGTTTTCCTTATAAATTTCACGACGGGCCACGTAAATTTTCGGCGGGGATTAAATATCCTGTTTATTGATAGATTTAAAATGGATGGCTGAACGATCGTTTGTCACCTGGCTTTGTCACAACCCGAAATATAACGACCGTTCAAGTGGATGTTATTTTTAATTCAAACTGTTTTGTTTTTTATCTTTCATTACTTTTACACATCAATTTTCAACTGGGTTTATTTCGAGTTTTAGTTGATTTTCATTTCGAATGCCAACACGTCTCACAGATAGAATAAATGTGTTTCTAAATCGCATGGGGAAGATGGCAATAAACAGCAAAGAGTAAAACAGGAAAAAGTTGCAGATTAGAAAACACCATAAAAAAATATCAAGCGAAGGAGAGACTTTACAAAACCAAACCAACAGCTCACTTGTTATTGCAAACAATGATTTGTTATCGGGAAGCGGTCGATAAAGCCAATCAAGCAAGAAAACACTAAAAAATAAACTGCAAAACTTTTGCAAAAAACTCAAAAAATATTTCATATTTTTATATTTTCAAATTCAATTTTCCGAAATACCGAAAAAAACAACTAATTAAAGAAACGACAAATATTGGGGGAAATGGGAGGCAACACCAAGAAGTAACTTGAGAGACCCAAGAAATATAAATTAATAAGGGAAACGGAAACTACTGACACCCTAATTATATTTAAATCATACGAATGATCTAATATTTATTTATGATACAGACATTCTTAGAAAGAGTACCTGCCTATAAATACGTTGAAGCAAGAAACAATATAAAATCAACTGCAAAACCTTTGTTGAAAAATCCAAAAAGACGAAAGTTTAAACTGAAGTTAAAAAATAAACACTAACATTTCAAATTCGCAAAAAATGCTTCAGATCAAACCCAACAGCATCCATCAGGAATTGTTCACTCCTGATCAACAAAAAATATTTCAAATATCGATAATTAAAGGCGAATCATCAGAGCAAGAAAATTAATGAAATTGGGGAATTTGAACACCGAAAGAAGCAATAAATTGAAGGAAACATATTATTAATATTGGGGGCAAATAGGAGGCTAGCAGAAAAAGAGTTGAGAGGCCCAAGCCTCGCAGGTTCAAGGACATTCTTAGAAAGAGTATAAATTTGTTTGTAAGTTGAATGAACGAGATGGCAGTAAATAGAAAAGACTGATAAAAAAGTAAGAAAATGCTGCACGATTAGAACAAACACGCAAAGAAAATGATCGATCAAAAAGAAACTAATGAACATTTCGGAAGGAAATAACATGTCAGGGGAAAATTAAAGAAAACAATCAACCAACTACTTATTGAAAACATTCAACAACATAAAAACAATCACTTACACAGAAAATAAAAGGAAAACACAAACGCTGAATTCATGACTGAATTTTTTTTTTATTTAATGCATTAAGAAGGTGGCAATAAATCGTAAAAACTAATAAAGAAGTACGGAAAATGAGCAGAATTAGATAAAACCACAAATAAAATAATTAAACCATGAAGCGAATTTTTAATGGAAAATACCGAATCTACTGATTGCAATTAACCGGCCAGGAGAAAATTGAACTATAAAATGAAAATAAAACTTAATAAGTAGTTCACTATAAATATTCTAAAAACGATAAATGAAGAAATCACGCAAACAATGTTTTAACCAAATCAGAAGAGGAAAACAAGCGCACAAACCAGTCAATAAATCCAATATATCACGAAAATTGTAACATAATTCAGTGACTTTAAACCAAAAACTTTTCGCGTCAAAAACTTGAAACGGAAATGAAGAACTAAACATCTAGCATTTCAAACCAACAAAACACTATTTCAAATAGCAAACAACAATATAAGTAGAATTAAATGGAGATTAATGGGCAACCGACAAAATGCAAATATAGCCAATCTCAGGCACCCCCGGGCTAGTTTCGAGCCTATTAGAAAATAAATGCAACCGGTACTGGGGGTGCCTGAGATTAGAACATCTTTCCTAATGTGAAATGCCTAAACTTAGTCTCAGTTCACCTGATTTATTCCTGAGATTAACACATCAAGGTTTGTACCTACTTACGTTAGAAACGTTAGACTGTGGTAGAACTGAAATCGAAAAACCCTGGGCAGTTTTTGTATCGAAATTGTAAATTTCCTGTTTATATTGCTTAAAATAAAAGCGCTTCTAAACCTCCGAAAGTTATTCCGATAGATAGTCATTAATATTTATTAGCTTGATTTTAACTTGCTGTTAAACACGATGCAATTAT